TACTACTTTTTTATTATTATTTAATGTTTTAAATATTTTAAGTAATTTATTAAATAAAATAATTTATTCAATAAAAAGAATAAGTCCCGTCTATATTATTATTTCGAAAGCAATTCAGTATATTGATTCTCTATACATATATATTTTTATAGAGGTATGACTTTTTGTTAAGTAATAATAGTACTCCACATTAAATATTAAAGATTTAACTTGTATGTTGTTAGTACAACAATCTTTTTATAGACAAATTGTAACTATATGATAAGATTTGTATTGAATATCTTTGTATTGAGGAGACACTTATATAAAATATAATAAAAGTCGCTGGAAACGTCGGAAATATTACATCCTCTTACAAATAACGTTTTCGACTCTCTCCAAAACTTTTCTATACTGCAACACTTTTATTTTATTGTATCCGTGAAGGTTTTTTTTAACTTTTATCAACCCAATGCTTTGATCATCTCCATGTTAATTGTGTATATTTTTTTCCCAAGCTGTTTTACATAAGCGAATGAAATCTAAAATCGGCTTTGTTTCTTAATTTTTCATAACATGACCTGGGATCCCATAAAATTTAAGACAAAGCAAGTAGTTTAAGCTGATCCAAAGATTATTTCAGTCTAATCCACATACATAATATAAGAATGAAAATCAAAAAGTATAAAAAGATACTACTAGGTTTTTTTTATATTAAAAACTATGAGGACTTTATGAAATAAAATAAAACTATAAAAAGGTTAATAATTAAATAATTCCGACGCTTGGAATGCTTAAAGGAACTATGTATTATTGCATTTTATAATAAAATATTTTATTAAAGTTGATATCAAGATAAACGAGTTTCAACGAGATTTAAAATAGATCATGAAAATTAAATTTATTTATTAAATAATAATGATTTTCAATAAAATTGCAGAATATACTTTTCACATCCATCACTAAACATAACAAGAAATAAATGAAAGGCATTCAATTTAATATTGAAAATTCTTTTCTGTACACAATTATTTACTTTTATTAATATAAAAGAACCAAGCTACAAAGAAATAAGACTTTGAATTTAAATATAAACTCATTGAAAATGGCCATAAAATAAAACCATTTGCTTCAGGAAGTCTGTGAAGTAACTCAGAAGAGGAAGTCGAATATCAAAGCATATTCTGTTGAAAGCATAATGAAGCAAGTACAGAATGTGGCGACCTGTTGAATATTACTTCAAGTATATTGTAAATGCAGTGTTAATAGTAAAAGAGACCGAATCCTTGTTCGAGCGGACTAAAGACATTTAATTCTCAGTAAATGGAAAAGAGCTCTAGTACTTATAAGAGAAATAGTTAAAATGTTAATTATTAAGCGCTGTTGGTTTGAATGAAATAAAAACGTAATGAGATCGAAGACTTTTGCGAGTATTCATTTAAATTAAACTAATATTTTACGGATTACAACGCGTTATTTTACTATGTTAATAATTAAATACTCCCGACGTTACGGTTATTTTGCAACAACTAGTAGGAGTATGTAGTTTTTTAAATAATAAGATAAGCGAAGTATTATCCAAAAATAATAGTTTCATTTAAATAAATATAAATGTAATATCATTAAATTTTAAAAATTATTTTGCATTTAATATGTCTTAAACATGATTATAATAGAAAGAAGAAGACTAATATAAAGTTATGTATATAGCCAAATATTCAAAATGAAATATCAATCTCGTGAATAAGTCTATATTTTTATGTTTTTGCATTGAAATTTGATAACTTATATTTATAAGTGAATTCACAAGACTGTACTACACACTTTAAATTTATCTGTACTCGTATTTCCATAAAACTAAGAAAAAAATATTTTTTTCTTTATACTATTTGTTACCTATATATTTTCAGTAAGTTTTTGTATAAATATTTTGACTTAAGTAATAATTGAAAATAAAGGATATATCGGAGCGAATACCTTATTTACGTAATTAATAATTATGCATGCTGTCGCAGGGATCGAACCTCACAAAATAAACGATTCGTTAAACCATCTACGAGGTTACTTTTAATATCCTGAGAGCCTGACCACAGTCGAGAAGAAAAGGCTTTGGTGACGTCAGTTATGATGACGTCATACTTTGTCAAAACCACAAGCGGGGATATTAAAACCAATTGATATGTCATTGAATGAATGAATTAATGTTTCTTGAATGAATGAATGAATATATTTTTTTATTTGCTGAACGCTTTGCAATTATAAAAATGAAATCACCATTAGTCCGACTGTTAAATGTACTAGTATGTATGCGGTTATGTTTTAATTAAAGCCACGGATTTGTAAATCCGCTAACAGTTAATTTAAAGTTGTTTGAAATGAGCTTGTTATTAGTTACACACATTGTGATAATTAATAAAAGTTAAATGCTTTTATAAAACATGGTATATTAATTTGTTTGTATTGTTTTTATCTTAATATTATTTTGTTTTATTTACAGTATATACAGTGTCAGGTTGTGTAATATTTAATTCTAAGATCTATATTATAAGCTATCCTCCTCTTTGATTCATTAAAGTACCTTCTTATTAATTAGTTTTATAACGATAAAAAGATCTGTAGTCTTGTATCGAGTCCTTCTATTGCTCGTGAACCTTTGGAACAGTCGGATCTCTGTAAATTATGTATCGTGAGTCATATTTTAATCACATGTTAGATTCTGTGAGGTATCAATCATGATTGTGTGTTAGTATCACACTTCAAACCTATTATGTTACAAATTTGTAAGAATTTTAAAATCGTTCGTTTGTAAATGTATTTTTTTAGTTATTTATTCTTCCGAACCTAAAAATATATATTTCATTACACAATTAGAACTACCATCAATATTTTTTTACAATACAAGACATAAAAATCCCTCCAGTCTTTGCATTGTAACAGTGCAGAATGAAGATACTCTAAGTATATTAACCATATTAACTAATTACTATATTAACTAAATACTAATATAGTTTTGCACACACAAAATATATAGGTTTCAGTTAAATAATATTTATAATACTATAACAATATTTCATTTCATATAAAGCTGTTCCAAGTTACATTACAAATTCATTAGTGTTACGAATGGCGCCATCTGTGCCGTACTAATTATAATATACTATAATCCTTAGCATTATTTTAAAGTCTGATTATTATATTTAATCATTGTAATTTACTAATGGCAACATTTAAGTATCAACTTTCATTTGAAAGCTATAAATACTGACTTCAGTTATTTTGTACTTTATGACTGGAAGTAACGATGAACATTGAAAATCAAGTCTGAAACTGTACCTCGAATATCAGTTCATATATAAAATTTTGAGATCAATTTATTATACCTAACTATATTTGACGAAATTCCATACATCTGACAGCATAGGATTAGGATGAAGTAATATGTTACAGAAATAAAACCGTAATGTAATATTTAATGTCAATAAACTTTACATTCCTACCACTTATTTGAATCCTTACGCAATACGTCGTGTTTGTATATATATACTTTTAGTAAGCCTTCTTCTTCTACCTGGCAATTTCCCAGCTATAGCCAGGGTCTGCCTTACATGTTGTGAATAGTTTTGGCTATTTGTTTTTACGACCGGCCCGCCTGCCTAACATCAACCCTCTTTTGGGAAGTATTCAACATTGTACTAAAATCTAAACTATTCTATTTATACAAAAAGGTTGTATAGTCCGTTAGACTTAAGCTGAGCATTGCATTTGTATGAGTGAAAGTAAAAGTAGAGTTAGACAAAAAACTTTTAGACTTCAATTTTATTATATTTTAAATAGATAAATAACATGAGTGCTATAAAATAAGCAAAACTTGTAAAAGGCCAGATGGAAACATTATGAATATTATTAACAAAAAATTATTGATTAATAAAAATTTTGAATAAACTATACAAATTCTTATTCACTTGACATTGCGTTGTCAACATTTGATTTTGCTACCAGTACAAAGGGTGAAGTGAGGAAGATGTGGGGCGGAGTAAAAACAGTATAAACAAGTTTAAAACTAGAAAAGAACGTTCGAGCGACGAGCATTCAAAAAATTTGACATCACACCTACACTATCCGTGTGCACTCACACAAATGCAAACGCAGCTTAAATCAAACGCACCATACAGCACTGATAACGGGCATATCCGTGAAAGTATTATCTTTGCCTATTTAAACTATAATTCAATGTAATTTGTGAAGAGCATAATTTCTAAGCAGCTGTGTACTTTGAGATCAAAAATAATGATTTCAATACAAAAACTCAAGTTTGTAAATAGAAAGAGGCTTAAGGGATCAACATAAATCAAAAAGGCTTTTTCCTAAGACAATGATTTGCAGTAGATTCATTCAAAAATAAATGACAAAATTCTCTTTCTATCAAAATATTTAAAATCTTTTTACAACTACATTTATTTTAAGTTGTAACCAAAAACTTCTGTAAACAAAAATTAAATTAATATTTTGTTCTTGTATTATTATATTTCTATCGTAAAAAAAAACAATTTCCATCAAATCTAAACATAATATCCCACAAAGCTCATTATATATGGACACCATTGAATAAAAGACTGTGTTAGTTCAACCGTTTGGTTCCTACAGTATGAACGGAAACGCGTGATGCTACGGACGTAGCGACGTTGCTACGGAGCTACGAGACTCTACGACGAGCTACGAATATAACGATCTAAGTTGAACGATAAAATTATTAGTTTATAAATAAAGAAACTATCTAGATAAGATTTTTTTATAACAAGTGAAGTAAAGAAAAATGATTATTAAACATTATTGTGAATTACATTTTTATATTATTATAAAATTTTGTCGTATTTAAATTGATTCACTGGTGACTATAAACTTCTGAATTTAGTTCAAATTCTAATATTTGAGTTCGGAAGCAAGTGAACTATTTAAAGTGTATCAAAAGTGGACCAAATGGTTAAATGAATGTTTAATATATAATAATACATGTAATAACAATGGAGGAGTTTCTCCGTATGAACGAGACCGCGGAACAGTTCTACACTCGCTGCACGAACCTGAGCGTGTTTGACTGCAGTGAGGAGGAGATGCTCTGGTGGGTGATGGGTCCTCGCAGGTTCCCTCTGTCGAGGATAGTCCCCATCAGCCTGTTCCTGTTGGTGATCTTCGTGACGGGGATCGTGGGGAACGTGGCCGTGTGTGTGGTCATCGTGAGGAACCCATCCATGCACACGGACACCAACTACTACCTCTTCAGCCTGGCTCTGTCTGACCTACTGTTACTCTTGTTTGGTGAGTCCATTGATATACTGCTAGTATATAGAATTTTCACTACACATTTCATCAGATTATTATTTGAGTTTGTGTTTCGAAAGTAAAATAATGGGTACGAATTCCTTTAAGTAAAATAATAGTGATGAATTCCTTTTATATTTCCTTTTTAAAAACTGTAAGAAGCTTCTGAAATAATAAAATATTTTTATTATTATATGTTTGATTATTATAAGATATTTTTATTAATATATGTTATTTTCTATCATAAAGTGGACTTTAAATGAAAAGGTTAAAATTAATTCCCACTAATAATAAGATAGGAATATTAAACTCTATAAAATGAAATAATTTTAAATTTTATTTTATATAGAAGTAAATTTATTCTATACACATATTTATTAATTTGCCTTAAGGAACCCTTTTTAAAATTATTTTCTTATTTAAATATAATAAAATTTTAAAATATACAACATAACATTTCATTGATATTATCATTAAAAATGTTAGGGCTATAATATAATAACAATAAGACTAAAAGAAAACATATAAGAAAAATCGTGTTATTAACATACTTCTATTCTATAACCATAATTGTATTGAGTATCGGTCGACAATTATTCTTGAAGTGATATTTACTCTTCTCCACAATACATACACAACTTCTGTTTGTAAATCTATATAAAATCATTAAAGCTTACATAAAATTTAACAAAGGCAATTATATTAATATATGTAAAATATATTAGGGAAGCAATTAGGAAAAAATACAAAAAAGAGCCGAAGCCAATTAGAATTGTTTGAAGTTTATAATTATATGAAATTTTGTTCATCAATCTCCATAATTTGTGGATTTCATTTCTTCTCAAACTTTAATATATTTTATGATTAATTTTTTTTAAATAAGTCCAAATTTTGTTTTTAAGTTAACTCTAGAGCTTAATAAATTTAAAGGAGGAATAGTTTACGAATCCCTTAAAAAGTCAGTGTGGCCTTGTGGTTAAAAGAACCGCTTCTCATACACGTGGGCGCGGGTTCGATCCTGGGAAGTACCAATGTGATTTTTCCGAGTCATATGTACTTTCTAAGAGTATTTAGACATCACTGATTCATGCATTCTCAAAGAGGGTTGATGTCAGGCAGGCGGCCGGTCGTTAAAAAAAATTAGATTAAACTATTCACAACATGTAAGGCAGACTCTGGATAAAGCTGGGAAATTGCCAGGTACAAGAAGAGTTTAAGAATCCCTTTGTGTTGTTAAAATAATGTAATATAATGTTGATATTTTAATACCGCGATATTATACACGATGGTTACAGGTTTGAAAACCAACTTCATTAATTAAAAAGAGACGAAAAAAGACCTCTCATTCCATGGATTCCCCGTGCGGTTGCTGGGTCTATCGTTGCAGGGAGAGCTTAACAGTGACTGGGACTTGCGACCCAGGTGTATACGTTTAAATTTATAGAATAAAACTGGAAGGCTCCAGGGCCATCGCTGTACAAACTAAATGACTGATATGAAGAATTATCAGTTCCTGGTCTTACAAATATTTTAATGATGATATTATAACCTGAAGTATAGAAATAAATACTACTGAATATTTAAATAATTTTACGAGGTGATTTTAGATTATAGATTGTGTGAGTGTGTGTGTGTGTATTTATGGATGTATGTGTATGTGTGCTTTATGAGTTTGTTTGTGTGTGTGATTTTGTGTATGATCGTTTGCAGTATGTTCTGGTAACATAAATATATATTTATTTCAATTTAAATATTCAATAAAAATTTATTTAAACATTTGTATTGATATAATTGGAAAACAAGACCTCGTAACTTGAAAAGATAAAAGCCACGACAACCATTGCTATTAATTATATCCTTATATATTTTTTTGTTATTAAAATAGCATCAGATTAAAATACATTCACAGTTTTATAATAAATAGTAAAAGTTCTCGTATTTTCATTTATGAATAGAAATAAATGTATCTGTTTTTTGCCGAGGACAAGTTTAATAAAACAAACATAATTTCAAATTTCATATGTGGTTACGAGACGGTCTTTGTGACATGTTGTAGCGTAAACTTTCATTCACATTCATTTTTTGTATACTTTTGAATGCAACTGACTTCAAATAAAAATTCAAACACTTCATAATTTTTATAGTAGTAATTTTATCAGTCCTTTTTATCGCTTTTCATTACTGTCAAAATGAAAAATATTTCGTTACATTTAAGTCATTAATAGTATTTTTTATTCTACTTGTGTAACATTTTGGTTATGTTATTATAAAGAATTTGAATTGGAATTGGCTTACATACACTTATTGACTAAAAGGCGTTAAGTATCGTTTATTGAATGTCTAATGAATTGCGTACTTAAACAAAGATATACGATGTTGTTTATAAATCGGTTGAAGGTTTACTTGAATTTTAAATAATTTTTCATATATTTAAAAAATATCTTAAAGATTATACTAAATAAATCTCGTATGAAACATAAAAGAGAGTGAAATAAGATTGAAATGAGAGCTCAGATATGTTTCGGTAGAGGAATAATCTGGTCTTGGAAACAACTTCTATGAAGTACAAATAAAAATGAGTTTAGAAAAGTTTTAGTTGCAAGCTGGGCCAAAGAAGACATGTTTATTCCTTTACATTCTAATTCAATTAGATTTTAAATTAACTAATTATACGTAACCAACTCTGTAACCATTACATTTTTACTATGACCCCATTTAAAATGTTACCTTATTAACAAGTTTTATATTCAGTAAAGATGAAACTACTGTTATTTAACAACCTGATTTTGATCTAATTTTACAGTTTTGTTTTACCAACTTTCTATTTACAGCCAGTCAATAAGCTATTGTTTTTCTTTATGATGGTTTAATTATTGATTTTTTTATTCCATTCACAGATTTATTGGACTCAAATAACATTTATAGCATTTACAATAAATTTAAGTCTTCAAGTAACATTTAAATCGCGTTGCTGACACGTCCATACGTTTTAATAAGACTTAAACGGTATTGAAATTAAACAGACATACGTATATATCGTATTATACATATTTATATAGTTATCAGGAACAGGCCATATACATAATATATTGTTAGGTCAACTTATCACTGATTCTACTTAATAGATATTTACATTTTTTCTTTATACAGCGTTAGCCGTGGTCTCGTTTTTAGGCCTCTTAATGATTGTGTACTAAGCGTGACTTACTTTCCAAACTTCTACAAGGGATCGGTTCCTTCGTACATATTTTTTTGTAACTTTAACCTTCGCAGTTTAGCAACGGAAGTTCTTAAAAGGAATATTTGGTTACCATTGTTTGCCACTTTTATTGTCTTGTTCGCATTAATATTACAAACATATATGTATATATATGTCTTATATATAAAATTCTCGTGTTGCGATGTTAGACAGAGAACTCCTCCGTCCAGACGTTTGGACCGATTTTGAGGAAATTTTGTAAGCATATTGAGTAGGTCTGAGAATCGGCCAACATCTATTTTTCATACCCCTAAGTAAGGGTTATTCACCCTATTTTTTTTTCGCACGAAACTTTTTGTTTATATTTCTTTATAAGGTAGCATTAAAAAAATACATACAAACCAAAATTTCCAAAACTACGTTTGCTGGGTCAGCTAGTATTATATATATATAATATGTGGTATTTCTTATTGTGTTTTGTTTCCCCAAAAATATACATACTTTTTTTCTATAAAGGTCTTGGTCTATTTATTTGTTGAAGAATCTATTGTGCGCTGAAAAACTTATTACTTGAGGTACATTTCCATCATTCAATACAATACAATACAAAAAAATATCTCATATTTACATATTGAAAAATATTCGCAAATATTTTTTAATATAGAACCTCCATAGTTCAATCATGAAAAACATATTTATAGCAGGAAAATTTAATAATAAGTCCCAACTAAGAGGATGTAAAATCAGGGTTGTAATGAAAATTGTAGCAGTGGTGTTCTTTTTAAATATCTCTTGCAAAGTATTGAAATTATACTGTTCTTTTTCATCAGTTTTCAAGATTCTTTTCTTTTACGAGTGGCATATTATAGCCAATATTAATTAATAATCTTTGTAATATAGAATAAAACATTTTCACTGATGATATGTTAATATATGTACTTTAAAAAGAACCAATTTTTTTTCTATTTAAACTACAATCTAAACCAACAATTTTATAATATTCAGATGATTTCACGAAAAAGTCAATCTAAAACTGACATTTTATATGCCTCAAAAGTTTTGCTTACAACTTTATTTTTATACTAGCTTTCCGCCTGCCGCTTCGCCCGCGTGGAGTTCGGTTATATCGCGTTTCCAAGAGAACCTTTCAAAAGTATGGGATAAAAACTATCCTATATTCTTTCTCAAGGTCAACTCCATCTCATTTCATTAAAATTAGTGCAGTGGTTTAGGCGTGAAAGCGTAACAGACAGACAGACAGACAGAGTTACTTTAAGTAAGGATTTCATAAACTATACGAGTGAAGCCACGGTAAAGTATTGTATGTTAAGAATAATTTCTGTAAACATATACTATACATATAGTACACATAAAGTATATATATAATATTATATATGACGTTTGTATTGATAATATCAGTCATTAATCAAATACAAATTAATTGTGAGTGAAGTTATTGTTAATGAATGTTTCTGACAGTGGTAGTTATATAAATAAGACTATACATTTAATTGTCTTTATTTATTACATTCATTCAATAGTTTCCATTAATCATGAACACTAGGGTCCTAAATTCTATAGTTGTAACGAACTATTAATGTATTAGACAGTTAATATTGAGTATTTTGATATTAAAATAAAAATAACTTTTCCTTTTTATGGTTCAATAAAACTATTGAATAAATAAAATATATGTTGGAGTTAGAATTTCCTTCGTAGTTTTTAAACAGTATGACGTAATCATTACTGACGTCACAAATGCTGCTGATCTTGATTTTCGTCAGGCTATTGAAGGTAATATAGTAGACGGTTTGACGAACGTTTTATTTAGACGAAGTCCTATCTCTGCAGAGGGCTTGAGCGAGAATGTTTTTAATCTGTAATCTCATCTCTATTTATACAAACCGATACTTATTGTTATGACTTGCACAGATGGAAACAGTCGACAGAAATTGAGAGAGAATTCAATGAAGTTATATGAAATTAGTGTTTATTGTAATAAATAAAAAGACGTGATTCATACCTCATGGTTTATCCTACAGATCGATTATAAATTGTGTTAAGTTACTATCTCAGAATGGATGGTCGCTCAATCAAACAGGTTTACAATAATATCTTTTCAAAAAGGTTATTGTAACGTAAAACACCTTTAAAGTAAATTGAATGCTTTATTATTAATTGTTTTGAATGAATTTGTTTCAAGCAATTGTTTCTAGAAGCCTTATAAATAGTTCTTATATAATTTCTTTAAGAAGAATTAAGTACAATTTAACGCAACAAACTAAATATTGTTTATAACAATTAACATGGTTACTTTTCCTCTTACTTTTTAAAAGCAGTAAGTACATAATTATTGTACATTTTTTTATTTTCGTACATATTTAAAAGTGTATTAGATAAACCTACACCTGGGTCGCAGGTCCCGGGCACTGTTGAAGCTCCTCTCACTACAACGATGGACCCGACACCCGCATGGTGAATCCATTGAATTATGAGAGGTTTCGTCTCTACGTTAATAATAATTACTTGTGTTTATTTCAGACTTCTTGCAAAAATAAGATCGGAGGTAATTTTAGTGCCGCCATTAAGTAGATAAATCTCAAAATGAAATCTATTTTTCAAATACATCACAATAAAAATAAGTGTTTATGAACCTCATTTATATATAAAAAAAAAATTAAATACTATTTGTGACTTTTCAATTTGTACTTTCACTCAATCAAGCATGTATACAAATTTTAAAATTTTTGACCACCTGTTTTTGAAGCAATTATCTATGATTGAAATAATTTATTGAAAAAGTACAAAATTGAAAGAATGTGTCATAGAGATTACAACAGTTTCACATAAGCTAATCTGAATAGTGATTTTTTCTTCGCATAATAAATTTGTATGCCCCTTGTGTATACAGGATAAAATTAATATATTTTATTAAAGGAAAGCGAAAATTCAGGTTTCAATGAAAGTTAGAAATTTCGGCTATGTAATTCATTTGCTTAAATAACTTTATATGATTGAATTTTAATACAAAATACTCTACGGTTATGACAAGTAAATATTATTGGAGGAAAGTTATTCATTGAGAAACGATCTATTTATTGGTAAATTCAATAAATCATGTGATTTCTACCAATTTAGTTGAATTGAGTGAAATATTTGTATAATGAGGCATAATTTGAAAATCTTTGGCTTCTTTGAAAATAAAATTTTCGATTGCCCTCACTTCAACTGCCAAAACCATTGCCTATTATAAACTAGTAAACCTGGCGAACTCCGTTTCGCCTCCAGAAGGCTTTGTTTTATGTAATATTTCGTTTGGTGATTAAAAGATGAAGAAATTTTTCTTTTGTTTTATATTTGAAAAGGAAAATTTTTATTTCATGTCACAACAATAATGAATTCATTTCGATTACAAAAATGAAGTGTTATTTAGTTGAACTTCTCTAAGTAAATGAAAGTAGATACCGAATCGAAGCGTTATACGTGTCCGCAAATTATCCGTTTCATTGAAGTGCTCCTTTGTAAACCACACTTTTTGTTTTTTGGTCTAACGTTAACACAAATAAACCGGATGGTTTCCCAACACACACAAGCTATAACTGCCCATGTGAAAAACAATGATTTTCTAAATTTATCCCGCAAATACTAAATTAAATATCTATCATTATACGTCAATTGCATAGCTGTCAATTGTGTTTCGTTATTCCACGTTTTATAGTGACTGACGTTTCATGTCAAGTCCCACGGGAATGCTGTCGAACGGGATAAAAAGTCCTATTGCATTTTCCTGGCTTTAAACTGCCTCCCTGCCAATTTTCAGCAAAATCGGTTCAGCCGTTCTTGAGTTATAAGTGGAGTAACTAACACGACTTTCTTTTATATATATATCTTTCTTTTATATATATATACAGTGTAAACTCTATATAACGACACTCGATTTAACGACAAACTCTCTAAAGCGTCGAAATCATTTGACTTTGGTTGGTTTAGCTTGTCTACCATACAATTATACACTCCACATAGCGGCACACACACTCTCAATAGCGACAACAATTAAGTAATAAAAAGTACCTTTTAAGTTGCTAAAATTAGTAAAAACTGTGCAGCTGTGTAGTGTGTACGTTCCTTTGTCGCTTTGTTATCCTAGCCCGCAATAAACTCGACTGTCCCTATCATACATACCGAACTTTCTAAGAAATTCGTTCTTTTGTTTACAATTACAAATTGCTTACACGTGTCGACGGTTTTGGAAACCTACATGGAAGTAGATGACTGCCTCCTTACAACGGCTTCACTCACAGACAAAGAAATTTTAGATTCAGTGAGAAAAACTGAGGATCAACAGCAAGGAGATGAAGAAGATGAGATAGATGAGCCTGATCCTCCACCGAGAATTAAAGAAGCTTTGGAAGCAGCTAAACTACTGGAAAATTATTTCTTTTATCACCAAGATGCCTCAATATCGCAAGATATTAAAAAAATAACTAAAAAAATACAACAACAGTACTGGTGCAGTAAAGAAGTCAAACAAAAATAACTAACTATACGCTATAGGGTTCGAATAACATTCTTTTTTATGTACATAAGTACTAACACTAGTCTGAAATAAACTTTGTCTTTTTCTAATTCTGATTTTTCTTCTTTCTATTTAACGGCAACTCTCTATAACGCACTAAAATGCACGGTCCCTTCAGTGTCGTTATATAGAGTTTACACTGTATATGTAATAACAAATAATACTCCTGTTATTGTAAAGAAAGTTCCTAATATTATTTATTAAATTTGATTAAGTCGTTAAGACATTTAAATGACACAGATTTGATAATATATGTATATAATGAGACTAGCTTACGAAAACCATTCAAGGACATGCATGTGTTTTAAGCATGATTGTTTTAAAATAACTCAAATATATATATTTCTTGTGAAGAATATTAACATTAATTTAAAATATAAATCATAAGTTTGAAAGCGTTAATCCGTCTTGAGCAAGCCTGGTGATTAATACTCTAATCTTCTCCATGTGAGAAGAGGCCTTTGTTCAGCAGTGGGCCCTGATAGGCTGATGATGATGATGATGATGATGCTGATGATGATGATGGTGATGATGATGATGGTGATGATGATAATATAACTCTTTTCTTTTTCACAGGTCTTCCTAACGACCTGTCAGTGTACTGGCACCAGTATCCATACAGTCTCGGCGTGGTCTTCTGTAAGCTGAGGGCTCTCATCTCTGAAGCGTATGTATTTATATGATTAATAAATTAATATTCTTTCTGTGACGCTGCAAAAGCCGCAGGGCTGACAGTAATACTCTATACAAAAAATAGGGTTATCTTTTTTTTATGAATGCACAACATATTATATATTTTTTAATAATTATTATGTTACTTTTACTTCGTCATCATTTAAATTTACTAAATGTTTGATTGAATTAATATATATTCTTGGAATCTTTTCTTGTTGAGAAAGTTCGTAATATTCTTGCAATTAATTTAGATTTCCTATATAAATCATCCTGGAGATACCTTAGTTCAGTCATATTGTAATAAATGAAAGAACTGAGATATTAGCTAGAATAATAGCACCATGATTTCTGGTTCATCTTAGAAAAAGTCAGTCATAAGTATTACTTACTATTTAGTTAATACTCTTATTGTTTAATTAATATAGTGCTTAAGGTATTTTGGAAATTACCTGGTTTTAAAGTTTGATTATTTAAAAAACAACTTTAAGAGCCTGAGAAGAATGATTGCTCAATGATTCCGTAACAAAGAGTTATTCATTTTATAAAAAGCATTGCCTCATTAAGTCAGTGGTGGCTCAGTGGTTAAAGGGCCCGCCTCTCGGCCTCTCGTCGCCGAGGGCGCGGGTTCGATCCTGGCCCGGGCAAGTACCAATGTGATTTTTCGGAATCATATGTACTTTCTAAGAGTATTTAGACATCACTGATTAATGTTGATTCCCAAAAGAGGGTTGATGTCAGGCAGGCGGCCGGTCGTAAAAACAAATAGCCAAAAAACTATTCATAACATGTAAGGCAGACCCTGGCTATAGCTGGGAAATTGCCAGGTAAAAGAAGAAAAAGCATTGCCTCCCTACTTTCTCTTTCTTTATGTTTATGGTACATTTAAATAACATTTTAAAAAGTGGAAAGACTCACTTTAACATGGAGTTTTTTTTTTATGTTAAAGGGGATAACCGAGCAGATGGCCTACCTGATGGAGGTAGTACCGTCGCCCATGGACATCCGCGACAAAAGACATGTTGCGGATGTGTCAACACCCTTGATTTGGGGAGAGGGGGAGGAAAATTGGGAAGGGGAGGAAAAAGGGAAGGGGTAGGGAAGGTTGGGAAAAGGGAAAGGGCAATCGGCTCTCTCACTTATCCAACGAAACGCAGGCACTAATGCTACTTCACGCCGATCTTCTGTGAGAGGGTGGTACTTCCCCGGTCGAGCCAGCCCATGTTCGAGCTGCAATCACTTAACCACAGCTAGGCTCTACCACCTTGAAAAACCGTTTAACCGTTGTCCACGTTTCATTGGTTTTGAAGGCATGCCAATCTTCTCCATCTATATATAAATATAATCCAAATTATATTGAGTTATTCTAGTATATGTAAATTTTTACAACTCTAATAAAAATTTTGTGTGCCGATCATTTATCTTTTTCTTTCACAATACTGCATATTAACCATCTACTTGAGAAAAATATTTTTTGCAATTTAGTTTTTAAAAATACAGATTATAATTATTGTAAAAGGTTATGGAAATTTATATAAAAATTGTGAACATATTGTCTATACAAACATTTAATAATTTCGAGGATAATGTCCTTTTAAAAAAAATATTTTTCCACTCCATACAACCCAACGATTTATCAATTTAAGATTGTATTTATAAGTGATTGTGTAAATATACTAAAAATAAATAAATATGGTTTATGTATTTTAGTAAAGGTATTTCATAGAAACTATTGTTATATTAAAAATGTTTGCAAATATTTATCACCTCATTGAAATGAAATGTGGTCAAAAAATTAAAGCGTTTTTACAAAAATAAGTATCTTATATTAACACGCAGGCTTTTCAATAAATGTAATTTGTATTTATATAATTTTGATTTTATTTAATATGAAAGTACTTTTTATTATATACTTATGATTACGAACTTTTTGTGTGGTATTGTGCAGTACTGTCGACTCAATTCCAATAGACATTGCGACACGAAAACCCCCATTGTCTGTTAAAGAAAGAAAAGTTCAAACAATCTAGGAATACTGATTATTGTTTAATGTGAACTTTGACCTCTCAAAAAGTCAATCATATTGCGTCATGTCTTTATATTTATGTGTATATGTCATATATTGTTGATCAAGTGACGTGTGAAAAGTTATTTGAAGAAGTAAAATATCAAAGTTTAACTTTTTCTTAAGTTTTGAAATATTAATGTTCATTGAGAAAAATAAAATAATACATTTTTTGAATTATATAGTTTTTAATAAAAACTAGCTGACCCGGCAGACTTCGTACTGCCTCAATCGATAAATAAATAATTTCAAAGTGTTCTGAAGTGCGACAGAATGATTGACATATTAGTCAGTTGTCAAATCTAATGTAAAAAAACTTTGTATGGGAAATAGAAAATGGCTGTTTTAGGGTTTTCCCAGAAATAAATCATTTTTTTCAGCTTTTAAACCTTCTTTGAACCTCCACAAACATTTCAAGACTAAGATAAGATAAACCCGTTCAGACGTTCTCGAGTTTTAGTGGGACTAACGAAATATACATATATCTTAAGTTGTAAGCAAGAATCCTGCTCGTATCGAAATATTTTTCATTCTTTACCTATATTATTTTTAGCTTTCATTCAAGTTTAAGTGCACCATTTTTTTTTATGTAAAAACTCATTATACGAAGTGCATTTACATTTAATTCGTATAATATAATTTAAAATGAAGTTGTTAGGTAGATGAGATGGAAGTCATCTTTTAATTTTTCATCGTTTATCAGTCACAATTTTATCTCATCTTATTATCTCTGTTTTCTTTGGAAAGATAATTTTTATTAATATTTTTATTTTACATTTAGTCCAATTCATGTGCTAAGTTCCTTATTTAACTTATAATTAAATTACAAAACAGTAAAAAAAATACAGGCAAGTGTAACGACTACATACTTGTATTACGTAAATGTATTAAATATTATATCCATAGTAGATAATATTTGTATAAACAAATGTGTTGTATTATCGATAAGTTCAAAGTCTCGTTTGTTACAGAGCATCGTACGTGTCTGTGTTGACTATAGTAGCGTTCACTCTCGAACGCTACCTGGCCATCTGTCATCCCTTACACATATACGCTGTGGCCGGTCTGCGGCGAGCCTTACGGATAGTACTCTCTCTGTGGGTGTTGTCTCTGTTGGCTGCATCACCCTTCGCTCATTATACTACAGTCAATTATCATCAATATCCACCGAGTAAGTTGATTAGATTACTCATACGTTCCACTCGTTATATATATTAGAAACTTTAAATATATATTAACAAATAAAAAGATATACGTGAAAAGAGAAAAATATAGCAAGGGCGAGAACTTTGATCTTCATTATCTTGAGCTGTTTAGTCGCAATATAATAACTATGAAAACAATCCAAGACATAAAACAGTTACAATTGGAGTGAAAATTATAAGACGAAGTAAACTTTTTTGATGCCATTTCTATAAGAAACACAAATGAAAATATATTTTGTTATAAAATAACTGAAAACTTTGCAAAATGTGTCAATTAGTACTTTTCAGACTTCAGATTGAGAATAATTTGTCAAAGTTTCCTTCCCCATTGTCTAAACCGAACTATTTCACTTAATCTAGCATTGATAGGCATTTTATAACAGACGTTGATAAACAGATAGAATAGAGTTGGTAGCAGATGCAAATTATTTAATATTATTTAAAATGTTAAAGGAGAAGTATAACAAATAAAAATATATTTTAAAATTAAAACTATAAATTTATGATCAACGAGGTTTCTCGTCGGAACCATTACAAAAATCACAACCTTATTATTACACGCCAATTTAGCTTTGAATTATTTCAAAGCACAATCTGAAATTTAAAAACAACTTTATTTTTTAAGTATTTATCCTGAATGTATAAAAACTCATTTTATCTTATAAATGCTAGAGAATTTTTAATTATTTCACAAAAATCAATATGATAATAAATAAGATAAGATTCATAATCTATTTTATAAACGTATTTTCTTATTACATCTTAGAATCTAATTTATTTTATTAAATTATTGTAAAATATATATAAAAATACTGGAAAGCCAAATGTTAATGTTGTAGTTTAAATTCTATTAGAAATATAAATAAATTCTTTTAATACTGTATTCTCTATCAGCATCAGGAAATGCTTCATTGGAGTCAGCATTCTGTGCTATGCTTGAACTACCATCCTGGTACATCTGCGAGCTCAGTAGCTTCTTCTTCTTCCTTCTCCCTGGACTTGTCATACTCTGCCTCTACATCAGAATGGGATTACGGATCAGGTATGTTCTGGGGTATGTATCTATTTTTGGAAAAACAAATTTATATATAGGATTCCGCACATACTCTTTTTGTAATAACATAATTTAAAAAGTGTCAATTATATGTATCACAATATGAAACTAAGACAAACAAACCAACGTACGAATTGTAATTATTAATTGAATATTTATTCTTATACTTTCTATTCTCGTTTATTTGTAATGAAGGAATAGAATTCATGCACTTGCGAATTTGTTCTATATACTGCTTTAAATACATGTGTGAATATTCAATCCCGCTATGAATAAACGATATTTACTTATTTTTCTCGTTATAAGGCTATCGTTTTACCCATCAGTTATCCAATTAATTTAAACAAAGAATTTCAATAAAAAATATAATTTGAAGAATAACAGTATATTTTATCACAGTTCATGAATTTAAAAGAGATAAATGAATAGGAAGCATCAAAGTATGAAAATACTTTTTTAATCTAATATGATTAGTAAGAGAGCGTATACCGAGAGTATACCGTGTTTAGTACACGGTATAATGCGGTGGGTACGAAGCTTAGAATGAATTTTGTCAAATTGAAATGCATCCATATTTCATCTATGAAATGAATACTGATACTTTTTTTTTAAATGCTAGACTTGTTCTTAATTATATATGTAACAATATACTTATCATGTCTTTATACGGAATATAATTATTTATTTTGGATAGTCTCTTGTTGTTATCGAGAGAAGAGTATTTTTATGATTTACGTCGGACAGAATATATAAGAAATTGCTAGTCAAGATTAATTAATCCGGTTAATTAAGAGACTACAATTGACAGCTGCACAGTAATGATCATTCATCGATACCAAACAGATACTTTTACATAAAGAGTTACTAAAGTTACTTGTTTTTGTTGTATTGAATTGTAATTGTAGTTATTTTAACATTAAACAATAAAATGTCAAAAAATAAACATAAATAAGTGAATAAGGTTGCCTTGAAAGAGTCGTCTTTGGAACCTAATAAAACTGTCACTTTGCTCTTTTGTTAGTTTATGAAGTGCAATGAAAAATACTAACCGATTTGTCTACCTGTTAAATATTCCTTTAGTTTCTGCTAAACCTGAAAATTAATAATGCCTAAAAGGCCGATGAAAAATCTTAACCTTTACAATAAATGTTTTGAGTAAAAGCAGCAATAGTTTTGTTTGACATCTATGAATCAGAAAATAATTAAGAATAAAGTCTTTGTATGCTTTATATATAAAGGGTTAAATCATTTATTTTTTCGTATAGTTCAACCCACACCCACACTCCTGGTAGTCCCGGGACTCTGAACGGAGTTAACGGCAGTGTTCACGGAGAGGCGCGCCAGGCTCAGTCCGGAAAGAACATCATACGGATGCTGGGTTATTATACACCTTCCATACATATTATATGTACTCTGTTACAAGTCAACCCTAACCGAGTCCTTACAGCCGCCGTGGTGATCGCGTTCTTCGTGTGCTGGGCTCCCTTCCACTTCCAGAGACTGTTCTTCATCTATGGCAGCGGCGTCAGTTACTACAACGCCATCAACGAGTACCTCTTCCTCGCAGCCGGCGTCTTCTATTACATCTCCGCCACTGTCAACCCCATCCTGTACAATATTATGAGTCACAGGTTTGATAATTTAATGGCTAAGTAATTCTACGGTGAGTACATTAATGTTACTGTTGGAACAAAAATGACCTCGATTATAGAAAGCAAAATAACAAAAAGGTGTATATTTAGAAATACAACAGATCAATACGGAAATTTACGTAGATCTATCTTTAAAATTTTTAAATTAATATAGTGTAACAAAGTTTCTAGCTACAAAATAAGGCCTTAGTTGGCGGTCGTTTATTCTAAGTATTTTACCCGGAGAGGTCCAAGTTAAGTCGTGTAGTGTGTGTTAGTTACATAGATATGTATATTCTAACTAAATTTCGTTTTCTCGTATATTGTATACTGTAGTCGTATATTTCCCATATTCAGAATTGATATATCGTATTTTGTAAGTCGCAAGTTTGGATTTTACTTCGATGCTTACATTTATTTTATGAATTTAAATTTGATATAAATTTGGAAGTGTTATAATTAAACAATTATTACACAATTTATTTTTTAGGCATTGTGTGAGGATTGATGTATAAATCTATTTAAATTCCAAACTAATAACATTATTTTCTATATACATAATATGTAGTTTATAAAAAATATGAAAATAAATGAGTTTATGAAAATGTGTTGCTAGTGTTATTCAAATTTATTCATAAACAATTTTCTATCGTTCCTTAACCTCCAGGTACAGAATAGCTTTCAAGGAAACTCTTTGCTGCCGGAAGGTCCACAGAAAGAAGAGCAGATATCGTGACCATTCAAGCATCAGAGAGACCACCGTGAACCACACCTCGGATGGATCACACCTGGTGAGGGTCCGGTCGAGGAGTCACGAGCACAGGTCCAGGAGTGACCCTCGGACAAGGAGCAGTCTCAGCTCTGACAGCAACAACAGGTACAGTGAACGATGGAAGGACTTCAACAGACGACAGAATGGACACTGGAAGAAGAACAACCAGGAGGCGAGCGAGTTGATGATGAAGGATTATAAATGTGACTGTGAATTATAAAAGTATTATAGTTTGTAATGTATACAGTTTGTGTAAGAAAAAGAGAAAATAAGTGTAAAATATATATGTAATTAAATCGCACAATGTAATTCTAAATTATGATATTTTTTAGATTTAAATATTTTATTATTATTAGTATACATTATAAAAATAATTGTAAATATAACTTTTATTGTTAAGAATAAATGTTTTGCTCGGTAATAAATATTTTTATTATGGACTTTTTATTTTTATTTATAATTTAAGCCAGATAAAGTTACAAAAACAACTATAAAAAGTTTAAAGCACAAGTCATTTTATGACCTACAATACGCTACCTCTCTGAATTACAAAGGCTACGTTTTTAGCATAAATTTACTTTCAAAGCTTTAAATATTGTCTATCTATCTTTACATTTATTAGTACGTGTTAAAATTTTAGGAATATTTTTTTTGCGTTATATTAACTCAAACTATAATTCTAATTTATTTCTATAGCAAAAATATGACTTGTAGATTTTTAGTTTTCGGTTTTTGTGTTTAATAGACAACAAAAATACAAATAAATATAGTTGGTATTTTTCTTAGAGACACAATTCTTTTTGAAATTGTTTGGTATAGTATATTGAAAACTTTAAGGTAAACCTAAAATGTGTACAACCTCACAGTTTTGAAAAGACAAAGATATTTTTAGAGCACTTACATCTCGTCTGCCCTTGATCACGGTTGTTGAAAAGTAGCCGAAACGTCGGGAGTATGTAGTTTTCTAATCAAAAATAAAACGCGAAGTAAAATCCGAAAAATATTAGTTTCATTTAAATGAGTACTCGCGAAAATCTTAGATCTCATTATTTTTAGAGCGTCTATTTAGTTCACACATTCTTTATAAAGAATCATGTGGTGCTAACTGATTTTGATATTATTTAATTTGAATTAAAATGATAAATTTTAAGGTTCACAATTCAGTTTAACATATATTGGAACCTGTTTTTGGCTTAAATTCAAGTCTTTTTACGATAGTGTCGTTGGTAAAGAAATAATAAAAGACAAGCATCAGTTATTTAAGAAAATATTAATTTATTGCTAGTTGCTTTCTTGAAAGAACAGATTTTTTAAGTCAAATATTTTGAGTTAATGATATTAGAATTATAAAAAATGCCGTCAATTTATAATAGTTTAGAGATCAATGTTAAGAGACATGTCAACGAATTTATTAAAAAGTTATCAGATAGAATAATTACTTTCATAAATCACGAGAATTTGAAAATAAACGAAAAAAAACATTTGTTTTATGTCTTGCATTTATATAATTTAAAGTTTCACAAATTATTGTGAGAAGTAATTTTGTGAATGAATAAAAAACTCCACAAGAATTTCATCGATACTATGAGCATAGTTCACTCATCTTATCTTCTTATATAAATTAAACCTTCAAAAGCATATGATAATTAAAATGTGTTGACAAAAAAAATATATCTTGACACAACAAATAAGTATAATAATATGTTTTAGTTTTTAAGTTAGAAATTCTTAGTAACAACACGAAGGATTAAATTGTCTCAAGCTCTAAGAAAGCAACCTAATAACCTTTAATAATAAAAATAATTAGTAAATCAATTATGGGTTACTCTCGCTTAACATCCTGTTAAAACACACATTATTTTGAATACGATTTGTATAGAAACAGTCTTAATATTAAGAATATTTAATAATATTTACTTTCCCATAGTAGATAAAGGCTTAAAATATCACAGTAATTACCTTCTAGGAACCAGAATTTCAAATATAAGATATTAAACTTATAAATAATAACTTCAATAGTTAAGTTTCATATAACTGGGTAAATCACAATAATACTTAAGTTTCATCAACGTACTTTGTGAAGCCTTTTATAGTCATTTGTCTGTGAAGTTATAGTAATAGCAATCGCTTTGACGATTTGTCTTTAGAGAAATTCAATTAAAATCGATGATTGGAATTTTTCTTACAGAGACTATAATTACTATGCGTTTATTGTGTTTACTATTTAAACAGTTATAAATTTGTATGTTAATACATTAAAATTTTCATACAAAAAATTGGTCAAAATAATAAGGAACTATTGTTGATGTATCAACATTCAAGAGATACTGCTGTAAAATTTATCGAATGTCGATGTTCTAATACAATATATCATAAAGGCTTGAAAAAACTGACTTTATTTTATATTAAACTCCTTCTAATAAACGTTTTACTAAATATAATTTTTAATTTGACTCGTAAAGAGTCTTCTTTGATTTTATTATGCTTCTGTTTCAATTATTTTTCAGTTATTATTTACATTATACAAATACATTAAGAATCTGAGATAAAATCATGAAATAGCTGAAGCTAAATTCTCATTAAATCATTGAAGGTTTTTATTAACTATTTGTTATCAATATATAAAAGCCTTTTAACTCGAGTTGATCCGCGTCGCATCCACAACAGTGTAATGGAGTAAGGTCTCTACAATATACAGTTATATGTTTATGAAACTGCATTGTAACAAATAGTGTCCAACTATAAAATATATACAATTACTTAAATAATATTCAATTAATTTCTCTTATAGCTCTAATTCAATTAGGGTTCTTAATTTGATACCAAGTTGGTAATAATCCTGACCACTCTCGAACATTTAAATTGCTGTAAATTGTTTAGAATATTAATGTAACTTATGTATGTATTTAAGTTTAATGACTTACAAATTACATATCAATATATATAACTTAACTAGCTGACCCGGCAGACTTCGTACTGCCTCAATCAAGAAATAAATTATGTCTTATTTAGTTTTTTGGTGTTTACTTTTGAGCCATAAATCTCCCTATTTTGAAGTGCGACAAAATGATTGACATATTAGTTACATAGTTGTCAAATCTAATTTCAAAAAACCGTTTGTATGGGAAATAAAAAAGCGCTGTTTTTAGGGTTTTCCCGGAAATTAATAAAAAAAATTCAGCTTTTAAACCTTCCCTGAACCTCCACAAACATTTCAAGACTATGAGAAGATAAATTAGTTGAATTGTTCTCGAGTTTTAGTGAGATCAAGGAACAGCAATCCATTTTTATATATATAGATATACAAGGCTCCAAGATATGTAATTCTTGCTTTTTAAGAGTACTCTAGTTTGTTTTAGTACAAAAAGGTTATCATATGGACAGAAATAGACATTTATCATAAGGACATCTTAAATATTATTTATAAGTAACCTATTCGGAAACTTTATATCACATTTAAATTTATAGAATATTTAATTTTAATTAATTTCTGTTTCTCTTATTCTAAATTTCATTTCATATAAAGAAGGTAAGTGGAACAGTAGTTTGTAGATAATTATCTAAAACTAACACAGAATGAGACGAAACTTCTCAGTGGTCTACGGACTCACAGTGCAGGTGCACGTTACAGGGAAAGAAACTTCAACCTAGGACTTGTGACCCAGGTGTAGGTTTAAGGGGCCGCTATCTAACGCGCGTTAATTGCTCATCTCCACCATCCAAGCTCCTCTCCCTATCTAACCAAATTTGAAATGCACCTGCTAGGGCTGCATTCGAAGTGCGTTTCAAGAATGAAGATATATATAGATAAATGAAATCTATAATAAAGTTTAACTTCTCCAAAAACATATTTATAATGAGCATTAGTGTCAGTTGTAACGAGGATGATCTGAAAGCGTTTACAAGAAACGTGTTTGGCTTATAAGAAACATTTTCTTACTAATGTTTTGCAAATATTGATTTTGATTTGAGGGAAAGTATAAAAAAAAATCCTAACTATTTTTCTAACAACTGTAGAGAGAAACTATTTTAACAAAATAAATTAGTGCACAGTAACTAGTTTTGTCATTGCATCATTGTTTCTGAGATGAAATCTTAACTTCTACTCGTGATACATTAATTATACAGGTTCGTAGATGATTGTAATATTTAACTTATTGAAATAATAATATATTGTATACTGCAGCTCGAAAATGTCAAATTTATGTTGTTTCCAAATACATAGTATTCTAAATCAATTATGATCGTTTTTAGTAGATTAAAACTTGAAGTACCTAAGTTATCACGTAACAAATATCTATACATTTATATTTTTAAATCCAATACATTTTGATCTATTGTATATTGCAATGTGGTGGAATGACTATAATTTTTCAGCATAGTGTATATATCCTTCAAGTAAAAAAGGTATAAATTATGACACTAAAATGACATGACATGCTTTTAATTCTACTTATAATTTACTTAATGTTTTATTATTTACTCAACAAAGTCAATAATCGTCTGTATTGTATCGTTTTAGTTTCGACGGCAAACGTTTTCTACTTTTTGTGAAACTCTATATTGCATCTTGTATACCCGAGCGTATTGGAAAGTGGAATATGCTAATAAAATGGATCGAGCTATCAAAATGACGCAGTGTATTGACGACAAGCAGCGAGTGGCTGAGTAATAGTATTAAAAACAGATAATTCGAAAATAAATCACTATATGTTTTTTTATTTTTTTGTGCTTGCGTATTGATTCTTGTTTGTCTCAAATAAGCTTACTTCAAACACAAATGTTGGGAGGTCAGCAACAATAATTTATCAATATTTAATCAACTATCAATAATTACTCTCTAATGTTTGTTTAAATGTTTTATAAAAGACATCAATATTAATTCCTGCAATAGAAAACCGAAAAATTGTTAACGGAGTGTTAATCTGTTATCAAAACCCAAATGTCAATTCCCACCTCTGATTTCTTTGTATCCAGAATATTTGATTTTAATATAACAAATAAGCTAGTTTGTTCTTTACTTTAACCTGAACTCCAATTACTGCCACACATTTCTCAACACGATTTTAACAGGTTAATTTGGTCTTATAAGGAGAACGAATAATTTCAATTTAATTATTTAACGTGACATTTAATAATGCGTTGTTAATTTTTCATCGGGGGACGTAAATATTTTGACAGACAAGAATATTTTTAAAGGTCCATTAGTAAATTCCTCGT